TCAAATGCTTTGCTGAGACACCCAATAAGAAGTAAGCTGGGGGCACAGTGTCCCTGGGGCTCACAGCCTCAAGGACACTCCCCCGCCATCCCCCAACTCCACCCCAACCACAGCACTGTGGGAAAAGAGACTTGTAAATACAAACCTTACTTTTTTAAAGACAGGTTGATTCAAATGAAAGAAGACAGAAGATGACCCCTTTATTTCTGTACCCTGCCCCTGTGGCTTTCCCTGCTGTCACTGGCTCAGCTGTCTACCGTGTTACCCTTTTCTTAGGAATGTCCCTTCTGCTAGTCCTGTTAACCCTTGTCTTTACCCATTTCCATTCTGACTAGGAACAAGATCACTATGATTGCTGAGCCTCTTGAGAAGGGCCTTGCTGAGGACATAGAGAATGAGGTGGTCCAGATCACGTGGAACAGGTGAGAACATGGTTCTGATGTCAGGGCTGAAGGGAGTGGGATGGCATGGTTTACCTGCCAGCTGTCTAGTACCACACATCCTCTGAGAAGCATCTGTGTCTCCCCATTTCGCTGTACTGGGCACAGTGTGGTTAGGATAAGGTGACTGTCCTCTAGAAAGGGAGTGTCTGTAGGCTCCAGGAACCAGCAATCACAGAGCAGTCTAGTACCTCCATATTCCCCTCCTTTCCCCAGGAAGAAGCTGGGAGAGTTCTTCCAGACCAAGTACGACTGGGATCTGCTGGCTGCCCGTTCTATTTGGGCTTTTGGCCCTGATGCCACTGGCCCCAACATCCTGGTGGATGATACTCTGCCCTCTGAGGTATAGTGGAACTGATAGGAACCATGTAGCTCTCAAGTGGAAGAAACCACAAAATGTTCTTTTCCCAAAAGTATTTTTTGCCCTCTGGTGAAAGGAGAGCATCCCCTTACAGCTTTTGTATCTTCTCCTTCCTCTAAACTCTTCAGCTATTGTCAGAGTGACTGCTAAGGAGGTCTCATGTTTCTGTGCAGGTGGACAAGGCCCTTCTTGGCTCAGTGAAGGACAGCATTGTTCAAGGTTTCCAGTGGGGAACCAGGGAGGGACCCCTCTGTGATGAGTGTAAGTCCACTAGCACCTTCCCCAGCCCGGTCCTCAAGGGTCTGTGTACCTGGGAGTATGAGGTGGGGTTGGCTCACTGTCCCTCGAACCTGGCAGGAGAATCAACTAAGGGCACACTGGGCCATCCCATGTCCTGTCCTGGTACCTCCGTTTGGTACATTTTGGAAAAGTAAGTCATTTCTAGGCTGGCATTTGTTCCTCAATCCTAAGAAGGAGTTAGCTTTGCTTTGAGTGTGTTTGGGGAAAGATACCAAGAGGACAATGAGATTGGAGTAGTTTTTAGACCCTTATTGGGCTTCATGGGAGTAACTGTAATTCCCAGAACTTTGCTACACCAAAAAAATTAAATTACCTGCAGAAGTTGCACATAATCTTCTAGGAAAGCTCTATATATCTGAGTGTGATCTGAAACACACACTAAACATATGTGTAACTTCTGGCCTCTGCCCAGGCCTTACTCAATTAGAAGAGCCACCTCCAGTGTAATTTTGTTACTTTATCTCTGTGGCTATAAGACAGCTATGACTCTGCTCTGCCATTGCCCCATGACAAGCCCCAGCACTTTTCCTCAGCTAGCTGTCTCATCTCCTTTGCAGTGATTCGGAACGTCAAGTTTAAGATCCTGGATGCAGTGGTTGCCCAGGAGCCCTTGCATCGGGGCGGGGGCCAAATCATCCCCACGGCCAGGAGAGTTGTCTACTCTGCCTTCCTCATGGTAAGAGAGTGGGGCTGTAGGGGACTGTCTGCCTCCTTGGACAGGGACCTGGGGCCTCAAGACTGTAATCCCTTGGCCTTCCTTTTATGGAGGGTCTCCTCAGCCTTCCCCCAGCTAAGGAGCCCTTTCTTCCTGCTCTGTTGCAGGCCACTCCTCGTCTGATGGAGCCTTACTACTTTGTAGAGGTCCAGGCCCCTGCAGATTGTGTCTCTGCAGTTTATACTGTCCTGGCCAGGCGCAGGTGAGAGCCTCAGGCATGTTAAGGAGGGTGCTGTAAGAAGAGCAGAGCCTGGCTCGGCGCCTATAGCTCAACCGGCTAAGGCGCCAGCCACGTACACCTAAGGTGGCGGGTTCGAATCCCCAGCCCGGACCCGCCAAACAACAATGATGGCTGCAACCAAAAAATAGCCGGGCATTGTGGCGGGCGCCTGTGGTCCCAGCTACTTGGGAGGCGGAGGCAGGAGACTCGCTTGAGCCCAGGAGTTGGAGGTTGCTGTGAGCTGTAATGCCATGGCACTCTACCCAGGGGGACAGCTTGAGGCTCTGTCTCAAAAAAAAAAAAAAAGAAGAGCAGAGCCTGCAGGAGAGATAGGCCTTCCCACACACTCCATACTAGAAACTCAGTGAGCTGGTTTTCCAGAAGGAAGTAGGAAAGGAATGAGACAATCCCTGGCTTTTGCACAGATTAAAATTTGAGATTTCGTCCTGGATGCCCTCCTCAGAGAACTGCTAGGAGAAATGCTGAGGGAAGTCATTAGTGGGAATGTCTATAGGTTTTGTCCCATGACTGTTTACACTCCTTGTCACCTGCCGAAGGGTTGCTGCCCCTTGACTTCATGGGGAATTGTGCTGAGGCTGAGAGTCTGAAGACTTTCGTGTTGTCTGTAGGGCATTCTTGGTTATACTTTCTTTGATGGTATGTAGTAACTCTGGGTTGGGATGCATTTGCAGGCAGCAGAAGTCAGATTGCTACTTGGCTTTTAGCCTCTGTATGACTCAGCCTTTGTCTTTCTGTCTCAGGGGGCATGTGACTCAGGATGCACCCATCCCAGGCTCCCCTCTCTACACCATCAAAGCTTTTATTCCAGCCATCGACTCTTTTGGCTTTGAGACTGATCTCCGGACTCATACCCAGGGACAAGCTTTTTCCTTGTCTGTCTTCCACCATTGGCAGGTAAGGAAACAATACAGGGTTGCCAGCCTGGCCCCCCAACCTCTAGCAGGCTAATCCCCTTCTGCCCTGCCCGCTTCCTAAGCCCTGAGTGAGGGATGCAGCATATTCCTAGAAAATCAGCCTGCCCTTGGGCCTGAGTCCTCTTGCAAATCTGCCTTGGCGATCTGCCTTTCAGATTGTACCTGGTGATCCTCTGGACAAGAGCATTGTCATCCGCCCCTTAGAGCCACAGCCTGCTCCTCACCTGGCCCGGGAGTTCATGATCAAGACCCGCCGTAGGAAGGTATGTGTCCCTCAGATCCATTGCCATTCCCCAACCCCAGGGATCCCAGCAGGGCCTGGAGCTCTTTTTATTTCCTAAGGGACCCTTTGAGCAATCAGACCTGGGCCCAGTCTGGGGAAAGAACGCTTTTTCCTCCAATGTGGTGATGCCCTAGAGGGAGGGCTACTGAAAGAGCACCACATAAGCTCCAGCCACCACCAGCCAGCCCCATGAGCATAGTTCTTAGATGCCCTGCCACCTGCCAGCCCAGCCACTACATAGGCCTCACTTTTCATGCGCCCCTACTTTCTACAGGGCCTCAGTGAAGATGTGAGCATCAGTAAGTTCTTCGATGATCCTATGTTGCTGGAGCTCGCCAAACAGGACGTTGTGCTCAATTACCCCATGTGAGCATGGGGACTCCAGGCAGCTCCTGCTCCCTACAGTGGGCTACAGTTCTTGAACTTGAAGCTGAGACCTGGTGTGACTTGGCCTTCGTGTTGTCAGAGAATGTCTGGGAGTTGCTTTTGCTGTCATGAACAAACCAGAAATCTCCAGCCCAGACCCCCAGTGACGGAGGAGCATTTGGCCTCCTGGTTCTTTCTGTGGCCTCTGCCTGGCTCCATTCCCAGGGAACAGAGTGGAGCTTGGGCTCAGGCTAAGAGAAAGGGGTGACACCCCAAGGGGCCCTGTCTTTGGGATTTACGTGGAATTTTATTTTTTACATGTTTGACCTTGGCTGCGGTTTGTAAGTGAACAGAACATTCTGACTTCTGCTTTGCTTTGCTCCTTTCATCCCCCTCACCCCATCTAGTCCTGGTGCTTACATTTTGAATATATGTCACTTCCCAAGAGGCTTCACTGCTGCTGCTCCCAGCTGTAGCCTCCTTCCGGCCTAGTCCCTAGAGAAACAGCCTATGGTGGGAGGAATGCCAGGAGTGTTCCCATGACCATCAAGGCCCTTTATTGCCCCAGCCCTCCCACTCAGGCTGCTGTGTGGGACATGAGATGGATTGCGCATTATGGGGTTCTAGGATTAGAGGCCTACCATACCACCTCCTTGGGAGATGTTGCCCTTATGCATCTCCCTCGCAGACTCGACACTTGTAGCTCAGCAGCTAGGGCACCAGCCTCATACACCAGAGCTGACAGGTTCAAATCCAGCCTGCTGAACAACAATGACAACTACAAAAAAAAAATAGCCAGGCATTGTGGTGGGCACCTGTAATTCTAGCTACTTGGGAGCTCAGGCAAGAGGATTGCTTGAACCCAGGAGTTTGAGGTTGCTGTGAGCTATGCCAGGGCACTCTACCAAGGGTAGCAAAGTGAGACTCCATCTTAAAAAAAAAAAGGCTCGGCGCCTGTGGCTCAAGTGGCTAAGGCACCAGCCACATACACCTAAGGTGGCAGGTTCAAATCCAGCCTGGGCCCGCCAAACAACAATGACGGCTGCAACCAAAGCAACCAAAAAATAGCCAGGCGTTGTGGTGGGCACCTGTGGTCCCAGCTACTTGGGAGGCGGAGGGAGGAGACACACTTGAGCCCAGGAGTTGGAGTTTGCTGTGAGCTGTGATGCCATATCACTCTACCCAGGGGGACAACTTGAGGCTCTGTCTCAAAAAAAAAAAAAAAAAAAAAAAGTCCCTTGCCCTGGAGTTGATGACCAAAGCACTCATTTCCAGCTGATCTCACTAAGTCTTCTCAGCCACCACCAGTCCCTTACTCTGTTCTCTCCCCATGAAGAAGAGCCTGTTGGTTTTCCTAAAAACTACTTTATTAGGAGCATTCCAGGGTTTGATTTAAGGGGATCTGACTGCCCCAGATCCTATAGGAGACCTACTTCTCTCCAGTATCCTGTGCTGTCCTCTTGACATAATCTTTGTACATTGTGTACACAGCACCTGTTTGAAAAAGGAAGAAAAACACCCCTTGGCATTGAAACCTTCACCTGTCCCTGGCTCTCCCAGGTGTCTACCTCCAACTGTTTCCCTGCTCATCTTTCTGCCTCAGGTCCCAACAACTGCTCCACACATCTGACCACAGAGCCTGGGGAACACCCAATCTTGACAGTTCGCAAAGCACGTTCATGTATATTATATATGTGTGAGAAAACTCACAGCAATCTGTGAAGTAGGCCAGCCAGGGGTGGTTATCATCATGTTACACACAAGGAAAGCGAGGCTTAGTGAGAGGCATTTGTCCATTGTGCTACAGCACCTGGCTGGTTGCCTTTTGATCCAGAGAGAAGAGAAATTCAGCCTATGTTCTGCTACTTGATTTTTCTCACCTCTAGAGCAAACCATCATGAAATGCTGGGCACTATCCCATGGGCCTGGGGCAAGAGATGGAACAAAAAGCCCTAGGGCAGCACCTGTGGTTCAGTGGGTGGAGCGCTGGCCCCATATACCAAGGGTAGCGGGTTCCAACCTGGCCCCAGTCAACAAAAAAAATAGCTGAGCATTGTGGTGGGCACTTGTAGTTCCAAGTACTCGGAAGGCTGAGGCAAGAGAATAGCCTAAGCCCAGGAGTTGAAGGTTGCTGTGAGCTGTGTGATGCCATGGCACTCTACCGAGGGCAATAAAATGAGATTCTGTCTCTACAAAAAAAAACAGGGAGCCCTAAAAATGTCTGTTTAGTGGCTTCACCAAAGACTTTATGTGGACCCTAGTGTGGGGAACAGGGACTTAAGTCTTGGCCATTTTAACTGTCAGGAGTCAAAGCCGGATTTACTTTGCTATATCAGCTTTGTCCTCTTTCTCCTCTGATCCCACCAAGCTACTCACCTAGCATGATTGCGCCCACAGCACAGGCCTGCGCTGCCACACGGGTGTGAATCAGATGTATGGACATCTTGGTGGAACCGCGGGCCTTTAGCCGGTAGATCCTGTATGCTGCTACCACCAAGCAGCCTCCTAAACCTGTGGTTGGAGAACATGACGCCTGGGACCGTAGCCACCAGGCACAGTGCTCCCCTGATGAGAGATACCTCACCAGGCAGGCAGGCAGGGCACCTGGATCAACAGCTGCTTTCCTGCAGCTTTGTGGGACAGCGTCTGTCAGGAAGGGGATCCTTTGAATACTGGGCTGTTTCCCCTCAATGGCATTTTTCAAATGACTGCCTCCCTCCAATGGTGCCCCTCCTCCATATACAAATAGCCCATCATTACAACAGCCCCGCCTCAGCTCTGCTCTAAGCCCTTTCCCAGCTGCTGCTGGCTCCCACATCCTGCTTTCTCAGGGTGTGGTGGAAGGAAGCCTCAGAGGACCCCAAATTGCTCCTCTGACCCTTCCCATCCTGGTGCTGGTGTTGGCGCCCCAAGTGTCCCCATATCCCTGGTTCTCAGTTGGCTATCATGTCCACCCATCCAAACTCATTGCATTTAAGGGTTTGTCACCTTGACTATTGGTTCCCTTGTTCAGTGGGTAGGGCCACTTGAGTTTTCTTTCTTTTTTGGGGGGGGGAGAGACCGAGTCTCACTTTGTTGCCCTTGGTAGAGTACCATGGCGTTACACAGCTCACAGCAACCTCCAACTCCTGGGCTTAAGCGATTCTCTTGCCTCAGCCTCCCAAGTAGCTGGGACTACAGGCCACTTGAGTTTTCTGACTTCTGCTTCATTCTCCTTTGAAAGCACCAGAAGACATGATGTCTCAGAGAGCCCCATCCTCCACCCCCAGTTCAATTCTCCACTCACCTATAGGCACCAGTGGAGATTCCCGCGTCTTCCTTAGGAATTTTTCAGACACACTGTCCTCACCCTCAGGTGGCACCTCCCAGCCTTTGTTAGCAGACATAATCCTGGGCACAGATGTTATTAACTAAGGTTCCTCTTCTTTCTGCCCAGTCCTAGGAGGCAGCCTACAATTAAGAACTGCAATTCTCAGTCTGGAGTGGAAGGGGGGTACCTGCTAAGACCCTTGCCTACCATGCCCAACGTAGTCTCTACTTGAAAAGACGTCCTTCTCGGGTATCCTGTCTTGGGGCTGGACCACTAGTACCATTTCTCCATCTCCCTAACATCCGCCTCCTCCCCAACTTATTTCAACTCCACTGTCTCCTCTCCTTTCCCCATCGGCATCCCTGTGGGTGTAATACTTGAGCCAAGAAAAACAGCTGGAAAAATCCACAGGAGGGTGAAAGAAACAGTCCTTGAGCCTTGTGGCCGTGAGTCTGTGATGGTTGCACCCGAGGGAGCCAGAACTATCCCAGACAATGTTACAGTACTGGCTACCAAATTGCCAGAGACAGAGATTCAAATGATCTGACATGGATTTGTGTATAACTTAGCCTACATTTTGCACATTAATATTAAAGGAACAAATTCTATTTCCTGAGCTGCTCCCCTGTATCTAGGTCTTTCATTCCAAGTTCTTGACAATTACCAACTTGCTACCTCCATCCCTGGGCTGGAAGCCCCTACCTATCACTTCTTTTCTAACCCCTATAAGTGTCTGCTCTGATTACAAACTCGACAGAGTCCTGGAGACCTGAGCCTCAGACCAGGGGTTCTGCCGGTGGGATGCCTTTTAAGTCTTATAATGAGACAAACACTCCCTGTTTAAGTCAGCTTCTATTCCTAGTTGGCCTTCCTCTGTTGGAGGAGCAAGGATGGGTAGCCCACCAGTTCATAGCATGCTTACCCTACGAGATGGCTAGAAGGTTGAGCAGCTGGGCCAAGGCTCAGTGTCTGCTGTTTTAGACCAGCTAAGAGCTGATGATGGAGCTGCCACTATGGGGTCAGAGAAGCAGTGACTTGGGCTTTATGGAGACTTTGAAGTGAGGGATGGAGAGGGGAGGAGATAGGACAGGGCATCAGTCTTAACCCCCCATCTGCTGAGTTCCAGGCCAGAGCTCCAGGCGCTGGAAAGTAATGAAAGATTAGATGGGGGGAAGCCCCTAACTGGATTCGGTCTTCCAGTTCCCATGGATATAAGTGGCCGGATCAGATGCAGGCTTGATGTGGAGAACTGAGAGAGAGATAGAAGCAAAGATGGGCAGAGACCCTGGGTTCTCCCTCAAGTTATACTGCCGTGGATAAAAACTTTTCTTTTTAGGAGAAAGGGTCTCTGTTGCCCAGGCTGGGGTGTAGTGGCCCAATCAGAGTCCACTGTGGAGGTCTTGCTAGTCTTTTTTTTTTTTTTTTTTGAGACAGAGCCTCAAGCTAAGCTGTCCCCCTGGGTAGAGTGCTGTGACATCACAGCTTACAGCAACCTCCAACTCCTG